CCTTCATTTAATTTTCTTAATACTCTTCCAATTTCTCCTACTTTCTCTAATCAAGTAAGAACATAAGCTTTTCAAATATGGTGAGTAAGTTTTATTTTATAAGGGGCAAAAAGGTACATGGGAGTTAATAGGACTCTCCGACTCTACTAAGGCGAATGCTGATGACTGCTATCACTTTTCACAATATTTCTCCATATACTTGGGAAATAATTTTTAGTTTCATCTTGATCTTTGCACATGAGGTTTATTTGGGGTCAACTTTAGAGGAGAAGGCAAAGAAATAGTCCAGTGTCTAAAAGGCTCACAGTGTGTTTTAAGGAACACAGTGGAATAAACTATTTCTTCTTCACCCATAAGTTTTACTAGATCACTAGGGTTCTCTCCTGACCTTGCCACAAACGTTCTCAGTGGTCTTGGGCAAGTGTCTCAAAGCATCAATTTCTAGATTTTTAAGATGAGGATATTAGAGTTTATTATCTTTGAGATACTATCCATTTCTAGGACCTACTTTATTGAACAGTGATCCTCAGTAGTAATCTATAAGAATACTATTTTGGGAAGTGAAGAGTTAGGCAGCAGTCTTATAAGTAAAAGCAATATCAAAAGTAAAACTAAAAAATTAGGTGGGCCTTCCTGGTGGCGCAAGGGGTTAAGCACCACACTATGAAGCAATCCACAGCCTCTGCAGCACGAGTTCAATCCCTGGCCACCAGGGAGCAACCCACATGGCGCGGCAGACCTCTCCTGCCTCTCCCACTGCTCCCCTCAGCAGTGTATTTCAGTTAGTCTGCCTGTTCTGTTTCCCACTCTGTCTCTGGTGAATCCTCTCACCCCTACCCCGCATCTCTGGCCTGTACCCCAGCTCTTGTATGCATAAATAAATAAAGCTTTAAAAAAAATTAGGTAACCTATCATACTTCCCTAATATTCATCAATTAAACTTTTTCTTTTATCATACGTTTATCATACTAATAACTATATTAACTGATCAATAAAATGAATAGCTTAAAAAAATCAAACTGGACAAGTGCATCCCTTTAAAAAAATATATTTATGGGACCCAAGGTGCATGCACGGCATCACCACAACTGGGTGGTTCCACCGCCAAGTTACGTGCCTCTCTTTCTCCTCGTGCTTCCAAACCGCATTCTCATTGGGCCTTCAGGTTTCTGCAGTCCTTGTGGCAGGTCTGCCTTTCCTGTTCTTTCCACACCGGGAGGAGACTCAGCTTGCCACCTTTGGATTTGAGCATTGTGAACTTAGTGGCATTGGTTATTAAGGATTAGACTTCTGCTAGAACCATGGAGCCAAGTTCCAATTCAGTTCCAATAGTGACTCAGACTGTGTGACTTACACATCGCAAAAGATGTGGCTGCAGGTAAGCCAAACAATGTACCTGAGCTGCAAAAGCAAGACCGTGCAGCTTGGGCAGTCAGCATCAGTGAGAAGGAATTATTCAATGTGTTCTAGACCCTTGAGCATCATGAAGTGGAACCAGCACTGGAGCCTCCAACACTACCATCTCTGAGGGAAGTGAACCAAATATACTCACCATGTGCAATAACCAGGTGTACAGCCCAGTGGGAAGTGTGGACATAAGAGAAACTTTTATCCATTTCTGTATGTTTGGATACAGCTCATGCATTTTCGTTGTGGATTCTATTCTAAGCCTATACCATCATTTGTATTGCTACAACAAGGCTGCTGGTGCACAGCCCACGTTAAATGTGTATGTCCCAGGGCACGCATATAAGTGCTCTCTTACACCAAAGTTTTCTAAAACTGCCTAACAACTGAGAATTATGTCAATCTATATCATTGAACTCTCAGAAATAGCAGAATTTGTAATCACATAAGAACAAGAATTTAGCACATCACTATTTGGACCAAAATAGATATTTCTGGAAAGAATGAATGTTTTGTCCTTCCTAGACACTGTATATCCTCTCTTGGTCAGTGATAAGTGGTTCTGGGTAGCCACAGTCTCCCTGGCACCATTTTTGCTTTGCAGGATGTCACTTACATATACGCTGTGTATGTGCAAGGTCTGTTTTCCATTCAAAATATCTTTCTAAATAGTAACAACCTAAAGGTCCGGAACCTTGTGCTTATCAGCACAACACTAGGCAGACTCACTATCTTAGGCTGTGGGCTTATTTTGTAATGACTCGGCCAATTTTTGACTGGAGCTTTTATGGTTAAAAGAAAGAGAAGTTGCATCCAAAACTTGCAAATCAACGATTCTTTTCCCATGATCATGCCCACCAAAAACATATGTGAATTCTTGTGTGGTCCTATTGGTTCTGTTTAAATCCTTTCATTGATATTACAAACTCAGGATATTTTCTAGGATTGGAAGAAATATTTTCTGTTGGAGTTTAAGAAAGTCAATTAAGGAAAATTGTGTATTACAAACTCACATTTAAGGATAGCGCTATGCTATGCTGTCCTGAATAGGACAAGCATTAAATGGGTTTTTTGACTATCATTTTCTCTTGGAATAAAAATCTCTGTAATCTATCATCTAGAAAACTACTTAAATAACATCACCAGTGTCTGTTGGCCCACGAAAGAAGCCACATTGTCTTTTTCTTCTCCTTTTCAAGAGAGAATCTGAGTATTTCATGTTGATTGCTTGATTGGCTGCAGAGGGACTCTTTAAAAATACTAAAAAAAATCAGGAATCCAGTACAAATCAAACGTAAGCTGCTATCAATCATGTGCTCAGGGCATTATGTGAGGTTTTTACTCAGAAAGATGTCATTAAAAGTTGCAGAAATTAATTGGTGCCATTGAATGTAATGGCCTTTCCTGCCATAGTTTCTCAAATGTAAAGAAAAATTATGGATAACGTAAATTCCTGGTGGGATTCTTATAGATGTCTGCTTTGTTCTGTTATTGTTTATTGCAAATGTTATTACTGTGATCTATGGCCCTCTCATGCTTTGTCTGTACTGCACTGCTGTTCTGCAGCCCACAACAACGGAGGCCTTTACTCATAGGCTGAGACCGTGTTTATTTGGAAATTCTTTGCTTTATATATTCCAAAAGTGTCTCAAGGTGTTCATTTTGTGTGTTTAAATTTTTATACAAAACCGGATTTGTTCTGATTGATTAAATATTGACTTATGCCATTTTCAGAACAACTCTGAATCTTATTTAAGTTCGGGGTTTGTGTCCGCTTTCCCAGAAGGTTTGAATTCAGTGTAATAATGGCTATTACTTTGTGTAAATCGATGGATCAGGATCTGCAATCTTTCTCAATAACAGCATTGGTTTAATTAGCAGTGGTTTAAAAATTTGACTCTTAATTAAGAAGCATTTTTTTTATCTTTGAGAAAAGTTTAAGGAAAGGAACTTCTTCCTTGCATATTAAATGCTGTCACCTTGCATAATCCATAACTCCCTAAGTTATATTAAATTTTTATCTAACACTACTGAAAGGTAACCTTGTGCCTCCAGATATTTTTAAGGAATTTGCCAATCCCTTATTATTGGGATTTGTGTGTGTGTGTGTGTGTGTGTGTGCGCGCGCGTGTGTGTGTGTGAATGAAACTGACTGTTCTCACTTTCTTGTCATCCTTTGGTGCATTTTATGAAATTTTAAGATATTTCTGAACTATTTAATACATATCTTGAGAATTTTATTTAGCTGAGATGATGTCAAATGTTGAAATAATGTATTATAAAGAGTTAAATTCTAGTTCAAAATAGTTCCTTAGATTCACATATTCTTGGATATAATTTAGAGAAATAGTGGGGGAAAGAATGAACTGTTTACAATAAAATTAAGTCAAAACAAATTTCAGCATATATAGAAGTAGTAAAACTAAGGTTCTAGAAGAAAACAACTATATTTTGTTTGGGGTTATTGGTGATGTTTAAAACCTGGCAAGTTACGGGCCTCCCTGGTGGTGCAGGCGGTTGAGTGCAGCATTGTGAAGCTGTCCGCAGCCTCTGCAGTGCAGGTTCGATCCCGGCCGGCCAGGGAGATACCCACATGGCGCAGCAGACCACTCCTGTCTCGCCTGCTGCTCCTCTCAGCAGTGCTTTCGGTCAGTCTGCCTGTTTTGCGCTCTGTCTCTGGTGAATTCTCTCACCCTCCTGAACCTCTGACCTGTACCCCAGTTCTTGTATAAATAAATAAATTTTTTAAAAAAGTGAGGGAAAGCAAATAAAAAAATGTGAACAAAGCACAAAAGTTGATGGTGTAAATAAGGTACAAATCTATCGCTAATTACAAAAATTCTTAAGTATTGACTATTAAAAGCAACTTATTATAATTACTTAAATTTTTAAATGCAGCTGTATGTTGCTTTAAACAACCATCTTAAAACTAACTTGTCTTCAAAATTTGTTTTCACAGAAGGTTAGACAGTGAGGAGCGTAAAAGCCAAAGTCTAAACATAGAAGCATAAAAGTAGAGAAACAAATTAAGAGATTGCTGCAGGGTGTCAGTTTACACAACTGTATTGACTGGCTAAGCCTTTACGAAGAGTAATTCTTGGATATTGGCTATCCTTGGAGGATTTCTTCTGGTTTGGAAAGCTGCAGCTTCGTTTTTGAAACCGGTCAATTGATTGACAGGCCCTCTTGGATTAACTAGGACCCAATGTTCCTCACAGTCAACTGATTATGCAATTTAATCACATCGACAAGGTATCTTTAGAGCAACATCTTGAATAATGTTTGATTGACCGACTAGGACTAACTAACTCAATTCATTAAAAAAAAAAAGGGTAATGATGAAGATATGAGGTCGCAACAGGGTCTCCTTCCTTTTCTTGCTGGGAAGCACCTCTTTCATCATAGCCCTGAATTGGATTTATCCTCATGCTCAGATACCAATGCAATAATCAAATTCTACTAAAAGCTCTTTGGGTAACAACTACATACTCTAAAATTACAAAGATTGGATTTGCTAGGTTATTTATTTTTTTTTTCAAATAGTACATCATTGCTGTCAGTGGCTTGTTACCAGGCAACCCTCAGCCATTCTTCAGGAACATACTGTGTTTTCCATTTCTCTTGAGACAGCCCTGCGACCACAGAGTGCCTATTCTTCCTGCAGACCATGGGCCGGTGAGGAGATTTATTTATTTATTTTTAAAGATTTATTTATTTATGCATGCAAGAACTGGGGTACAGGCCAGAGGTGTGGGGGGGTGAGAGGATTCACCAGAGACAGAGTGGGGAACAGAACAGGTAGATTGACTGAAACACACTGATGAGGGGAGCAGCGGGTGAGGCAGAAGAGGTCTACTGTGTCATGTGAGTATCTCCCTGGCCGGGGATTGAACATACGCTGCAGTGGCTGCAGATAGCTTCATAGGTTGTGTCTTAATCCCTTGGGCCACCAGGGAGGCCAGGGTGTGGAGATTTAATACCCCTGTTGGAATGAAATATATTTGAACAACCATTTCACCAAGGAAGACACAAAGATAGCAAATAAAGTCATAAAAAGTTGCTCAACAACTTGTAATAACAACAAAATGTAATTGGAACCACAAAGAGATATCACCACAGATTTAACAAGATAGTAAATGATTAAAATAAGAACCCTTACTAGGTGCTAGATAATTTTCCTGGTCAGAGTGAATGTGGGTGTGTGTGTTGTACCCTGGGGTGGAAGGGCCTCCTGTCTAGAGGTGGTTTCCACCTTGAGCCCTGAGCTGCAAGAAGAGGTTCCAACCACCCACAACCCTGATTGGAATAAGTAGGTTGAAGAATAAATGAGTGAATTAATTAATGCTGTTATTAAACTTCAGAATTTTATAAAACTCTCTGTTTAGAAGTTTGATGATATTTTTGTGATCAGAAATATGCCAGAGGAATTTCATTCTTATTTACTTATATTAACCAGCCTATGATAAAATTTTTATTTCATGTCAGTTTGTTTAAAGTCACTGTTTCCAAGAACCTATCTGTGACACTAAGGACTTATTGTATATCTTACTAGTGCTTTTTCTGGGATATTCTTAATATTACAGGAACATTTTTGTTTTTGGATCTTCTTGGAAATCTGGAAGATCTGCTGACATTTGACACACTCTCAGTCATGCTAACCGTCCACTGAAGCTGAGTGTTGGCTGCCTCCTAGCCTGTGCTCCACAGTTCTGCACAGTCTCCCAAGAGAAAGGTGGGTTTTGGTGCATTTTATCATCTTAGAATTTGACTCTCATAAGCTTCCTGGCCTCTATAGGCAGATGTTGTAATTATTACACAGCTTGGTAAAACCATGTAGGATGTGTCTACACTCACAAAGAAAGCACTGGTACAGTATCTACCCTATTAACATTAGGCAGCATCTTCCCTGTTTCATATAGCAATGGAGAAAAATTGTAGACAAGTCTTTGAATTCAAGACTATGAGAATTAAGACCAAAAAAATGTGTTAAGAATGGCTTACTGAGTTCTGACTCACCCATCCTGCATAAGAGCAATGTGTTTCTCTCTATAAACTATAAGTATGTTAAAGCAACAGTCAACTTTTAGGGGGTTCTGGATACATTTGAGAATTCTTTTCTCAGAAAAAACTTTTTATTCAACAATATCACAAATATGTCAAACAATTTGAAAAGATGCCTGGTCCTATTCATGTCACAGAAAGCATTCCTGTGACGTGGGGAAAAGAATCTCAGCACAGTGCATGAACACCATTTTCCATGCCGCTGCTTACATGCAGGCTCCTGGATTGTAATGTCCAGCATGCCGTGAACTTGACTTCTTGAATGGGGTGGCAGCTGTGAAGGCACAGGTGGATATATAAATTGAGGTGAAACAAAGGAGGAGGAGACACTATAGGGAGAGACATGGGAAGGCTGCTCCTGATTCTTAGCAGACAGTGGCAGCTGTTACCTTGACCTCTGGTAGATTATATTGTGCACATTGAATTTCAGGTCTCTCCTCCTGTCCCAGCTCTTTGCCTAACCCCTTTCTTGTGGTAGCCTGCTGGAAAGTGCCTTAGGCTTGCGGCAAGCTTTTGGGACTCAATGTTCCTGCTTTGGGCTGACCCTGTTACCGTGCATTTGTCCATGAGGGGTAGGGTAGTTTTCAGACTCTCTTTCTTCCACCATTATCCCTGCCCCCCCCACACACACATCCATTGGATTCATGTACAGATAGCTTTGGTTACATGTTCTCAGCGATATCAGATAAGAATGACAACTGCTTAACCTGTCAGTTTCTGTGAAATGCCTGAACTCTAGAATGGGTTGGAGACATTGACATTTTTTCTAATGCATCCAGCGATGCCATATTGAATCCTATATCCATGCCTTTCCCACCAATCACTTTCCCCATCGCTTCTCATTCTGGTGTCACTGAATTTCAGCATTGTAGCTAGGCAGCTAGACTACAGGATCCCAGATAAAATACAAATAATTCTTTAAATTTTTGACGGCATCTTCCTTCAAAAAACTGTTGCTAAGAAGTTCTATTTAAAGTGAGTTACAGAGAACAATCAGGAAAAAATCTCAAAATAAAAAAAAGGAAATTCACCTCTTTTTTAACAAATGTTTCTCCTGTTTTCCATGTAAGATCAGATCTTTAATCTTCAGCGTTACAACCTCTTACATGTGAGGGAGTTGACATAGCTTCTGTTTGATGATGATGCCTTTCAGAGGGTCATGCCCAAGACCGTGGTTTCTTTAAGATTGCTTGTGTTTTTGATGTTTTCTCTCCCACTGGCCTGATAAGCACAGATGACCATGATAAATGGGTATCATGGGAAAGTGATAAGAATTCAGAGGTTTGGCATGAATTATGTCCTCACTATGTCTCTTATCTTTACACTTTAATTTCTTAATTACAAAAAAAATTTTCCTGGTTGGACAGATTTCATGAAAAGTGTTGTGATTCTTGTCAATACCAACATCCTTTGCTCTAAGATAGTTTCCTAGGTCAAGTATTTTTGGTGCTTTTGCTCATCTTGCTGTTGTTGATAGGGTTTTTAATAAAAGATAACATGCTCTATTAAATATTGAAGTTGCTTTCCTTGAATAGAAACTCTCTGTTACTGAAATAGCAAACTAGCAAAAATTGTGATCTAACCTGGACGTCCATGACAGATGTCACCTGTATCAAGATCCCGGCTCCTTCCCTCCTTTCTCCCTCTAATCCACCCTGATTATGTTCCCTGCCTCTGGCCTGGCAGACAGAATCCTCAGCTTGCACACAAATGTGAGTTCTCACTCAAACCTACCCCCAAATGCTTTCCTCCTCCTTCTCTCCAACTTGCAAAAGGAAAGGGCTCAGATCCACCTGTACTCACCATTATTCTCAGGCAGCAAACGCTCCTCTGGCAGAGAGACTGAGAAGATAGGAGCATGGTCAGCCGTGGTGTCTGCACCCCTGAGAATCACGCTGTGCCCTTGTCCCTCCTTCCTGTTCACTAGCTGCCCAAATCGTGTTCTCTGCTGTCCCTCTCCTGTGAAAGATCTTCCCTTGTCTTTGGTAGAAAACACTCCTTTCCCTCTGTTCTGCAGAGCATCATGCTTGAGCAGTGGAATGAAGGAGAAGAGCATGGATTCTGGGATCTTTGGCTCTGGTTAAAATTCTGACTCTGCCATTTATTAGCTATGTGATTTTGAGCACATTACTTAACCTTTCTAAAATCCAATTTTCTCATCTATAAAATGGAGAGAGTAGTGATTATTTATAGGCCTGCTGTGATCAGTACATGAGATAAAATGCATCAGTGTGCCATGACAACGCCTGGCACATAGTGGTATTTAATCAATGTTAGCTCCCCCATAAACATTGCACCAGCTACAAAGCCCTACAAATGGAAAATATGGTAATGCTCTTATATGTCTATTAGATTGGCCCCTTAAACTGTAAACTGTAAGAAAACAGAGGGTTGTTTTTTTTTTTATTTCTGTGTACAAATTGCATATGCTATTTTCTTTTGGGTTAGAAAGACAGAGAAAGGCAAGCATTTATATAACTCAACTGGTGGTATGACTTAGATTGTATCTCTTCAACTGAATGTGTTATTCACCCATATATAAGCCATTAATTTTTTTCCTGCACAGTTAAGATCCCCTTAATGAAGATAAATTTTACATCCAAGTCACCTATTTTCTCACAATACTTCTTTAGCTACAAATAACCTGTGCTTGTCCCTTTGCTTTATTTGACTAAACAGTGACTAATCACTCACAACTCTCATCTCATCCACTAGATGCTGAGCTTCCTGAGGTCATGCCATGGCTTTCTCTGTTTTCCCTAGAGTTTCTGGCAGTGATTTGTACATAGTGATGAATTTATATGCAGAGTGATGTGTCAATCTCTCCTCCAAAGGAGAAGACTCAAAGGAAATGTCTTAATTGCCCAAATCCAAGTCAACTGGTGTAGACACGACTAACCAGGAAGAAGTGAAGTTGGCTTTACTATTTCAAACCTTTTCTTTCTTTTCTCTGGTTTATTGCCTTCTTTGCCCATTCTAAGGATGTCTCCAGAGAGTCTGGAGTCAGTCCTCCTGGTGTGGTAAGACCCATGCCCCCACCCCAGCTTTCTACATCATGTTCCAGATGAGCCGAAGACAGTCCCTTATCTTTTGGAGACCACAGAGTCTCAATGATAGCCAAGTCTTTCATTTTAGAAATGGTTTCCATGATCCCCTAGCTCTAAGGCTTCATGGCAAGCATAAAAATGCATCATGTGGCTTTGAGGGGTGCTGCTGAGGTTTTCCTGGCAAGGGGCCCTCACCTGAATGGTGTTCCAATGGCGTCAACATCAGACATCTGTGGTGGGCAGCCACAGAACACGGCGACGGCCACAGACCACCAAGGGCTGTAGACACTTCCTCGCTCTTCTGCCAGCAAGAGTGAGGGAGGCTGCTGCAGGCTGCCTGCTCATTTTTACCGCCCTGTGGTTGACCAGGCCACCCAGCCTGTCTTTGGCACCCTTCAACAGCTCAGATTCAGAATCTTCCCTGTGATAGATCTGGAGAGATATCCAAGAAGTCAGGCCTATACTCTGTGTTCAGAGAAAAAATAAAATAAAGATTTTAATTATAATCACCCTCGTTTGATAGGTCTTCTGACGTGTAGAAGATATTCTTGACTCATCCATGAAAACACAGAGAGGATATAATAATACAAGCCAGTTTCTGTGCATTCCCTAGTCCCTTTAAACAAAATGTAACTGAGCCCAGTTTGGAGCCCATCGAAAGCCCATCATAAAATTTTGGTCTTGGAACAAAGAACACACAGCTAACATTCTTCTCACCACCTCAAAGTTTATATGCTTCAAAGTCTTCGTGTGCCTAAAGGGTTTATCTCCATTGTAAACTGGAATCTCTTTATTATCCCTATAAAAGTCACTTCTCAACGTATCGTTTTTCAGTGGAGAATACTGCTGAATTTTTCCTTTAGAAAGTCTCTATCTTTCACTTTTCTGTTGAGCTGGTTCTGAACTATGTGAGTAAAAATATTGCATGCAATGCTTGTTTCTAATTTAGAAATAGGACATGTTTTCAAAGGCAATAAGTAAAAGAAGTGTAAGAGGTAGGAGCAGAAAAATGAGAACGCTGTATATAAATGGTATCTTTGGAAACGCAAAAAGAGAGCATTTTGTACCATAATTATTCAGATTTCTTTAGTCTCGTTTCAAACCAAGATTTGTTTACTAGAGCCCTTACAATTTAGTGAGACAAATTAGACTAAACTTTTTTATCTCGAGTGGTTTGCACATGCACTGATTGAACTAGTATTTCTTCCAAAGATTGCCTGGGAAGATAAATGAACAGGAGGAGCAATTAGGGTAAGGAAAAACTAAAGATTGGCTGACATGATTTAAGTTTACCACTAAGGCAGTTTGTCATTTTGTCTCTATAATCTCTATCAGAATTGACTAAAACAGTAAACATAAATCATTATACTAATTTATTTCACTACACTGTGGTCTGGGAAAAGAGGATTTCATTTTTTTCTGAGAGACTTTGGGGATTAAGGCAGCCACTTCGAACTTATTTTCATTTATATATTGGGGGAGAAAATGAGAGAATCAAAGATGAACACTTTAGGTTGCTCAAAACAATATTTTTTGGTGACAGGCCAAGTTATTTTTATTACACTATGTTAAAGTAACTATAGGCTGTGCATTAAAAGCAGCTCAACATTGATTGTATTTTTTTTAAAAAAGGGAAAACTTAATTCTTAAGGTAGAGATGTAATCAAATGTACTGCTGAAAGTGATTTTTCAAATAGTAGTTAATAAACCTTTAAGTTTTTGCTGTGAAGAAGCCTCTGTAATAGTCTGAGTGCCTTCAGCTGCCTGGCATCCTAATGAAACAATCCACCCTCTGGTTAATTAGGAGTGTGACTGTGCCTGCTGAAGGCAGAACCAACACGATTGAGTCACAAAGGAGTAGTGCCATCACCAGGCCCTTGGACATATGCCCCAGCTGACTGCGTGAGCAAAAAATGGAGCCACCGATTCACCTAGGAAGGTAAGGTATTACAAGAAGTTTTTCTTTTTTCAGCTAAAATTTTTCTTTGAGAGATAAGTGTAATTGTGACCCTATCATAGATTGGTAATTACTTCTTCTGAGATTGTCATATTCTGATGCTTTGCAGATATGTTCATATATCTGTTTTCATGTTCTTTCATATGTGTATGAATATCTATGTATGTGTATATACACACTTCCAACTATAGTAGAGGAATGAATCTCAGTGATATTAAGCTTGTTATTGGAAGTATGATTATTACAATTTTCTTAAGAGTGTCAAGGTATTTGAAGGTTCCAAGAAAGGCACACAAATTTATACAAGTATTTTATTGAGTATCTGCTCCATCATATCCTTTGTATGAGGGGAACAGTCAAATGAGTTTGAAATGCAAAACTTCTTGTCCTCTGGGAAATTGCAATTCAGGATAGACTTGAGATATAAATGTAGACTAAAATATAAGGTGGAATCCCCAGTGTCCTTAGGGCTGGACTTCAATAGGCTGCTGGAGTGGAATGGATTCTCATTTATGGCAACAGTTAGGGGAAATTCTGTCAGTGCCTCACAGCTGAGGTGGCTCTCCAAGGCAGCTCTTTCAAGGCAAAAGCAAGACGAGGAGTTAACTGCACAGTGGATGCTCCAGGGCATTGAAGGCGACTACCAGCCAAGCCAGAATCCAAAGAATTTGTCCCTCCTGGGAGCAACCAGGATCAAGAGGGTGAGTGTGCTTGGATGAGATTTCCCACCATAGTTTAACTCTTCATGTGGGGGTGGGAGGGTTGTCTCTAAAAGATTTCAGTGGGAAAAGGGACCACTGCTTATAGTCAAAACAAAGCACACACAAGTTTGACAGCATATTAACTCCAAAAACCATGAAGAGCCCCAGTGTCGAGCCTTCAGTGCCAACCTGCAAAGGAGTTCTGAACTTCATTTAAGAGAAACCGGGAGCAGCTAAAGATTTTTACATAATGAAGTGGAATGAGAGTTTCAAAGTATGTTTGAGGAAGTTTAGCCACAGGGCTTGAAATAAAAGTAGATAAGGATCTATTTCTTCTTGAAAATGGGTTCTAAAATTCTAAACTACAATGGTGATTGCAGAAAGTAAAAATAATAGATGAAAACAAGACTATTGTGGATATAGAAGGAGGAAGGACTGCCCTACACTATACAGCCAAGGCAACCACACGCCAGAACAATCCTCCATACTTGCCAGATACAATTCAGGTAAAGACAAAGATTTGGGGGAGAAGAAGAAATTCACTTTGGACATTAAAACTGAGGTGGCGTTAGAGTCCTAGATAGTGATGTCTAGCAGAGAGTAAAAATGACTAGCTAAAGAGAAAGTGTATGAAATATGGTACCAGATATTTTCATGTTTATTGAATTTATTTTAGGTCTCCCTCTTTTTATAAAAAAGAAGAGAACAGGGACTCATGCTATGAGCCTCCATCATACTGAACACTTTACATGTGTTCAGCGACCCACCAACATGTCTTAATAGCCATTTTTTATTGTGAGAACTTTACTCAATGGCAGAGGTAGGATCTGTTGAACTCCAAAACACTATGTGAGCAAACTTGCCACTTCTGGAAAGATAGGAAGCAGTTACTTCTGAAGACATTTTTGAAGTCGTGGTTAAAAAAAAAAAAGTGAAAAGGTGAACTAATGAAAAAACCCCAGGGGAAAATATACATAGATACTAAGGTTTAAGCTAATGACTTTGACTAAAGATATACAAATAAGGATAACCTAAGCAGGAGGGGGCTGCTGTAGAGGGATTAAGGAAGATGAAACTAAGAAATGGCCATTGAGTTTGGTCTATAACGTAATATTAATAGCTTTTGAGAAGGCAGACCTTCTGTTGCCCTGGAGATTGCAAGAATATTTAAGACAGCACTTTATGTAGCTTGTTGAAAGAGAGCTGTATGGATGAATGCACATAGTATAGAATATCAAATGCACTTTAATTTTTTTATAAACCTAAAAAAAAAGCCAGTTAACAATACTGTACTGTATACTTAAGAAATTGTTAGAGGGTATCTTGTCTTAACATAGTACTATAATATATAATATGTATTTAAGTATATATTATGTAGTTATGATTATGAATCATATTTATATATATCACATGGTCATAATTATGTTAAATTATATATAATTAATAACAAATCATATTACTTTTCTTACCATCATATTTTTAAAAGTAGACTGCAATATTTAGAATTGAACAGTCATCAAATATTGCATATCAAAACTTGTGAGATGCAGCTAAATAGCACTCAGAGGTAAACTTATAATCTTAAATTTGATGACTCAAATCTCATTTGCAGATAAATCCATTGGTTCTGTCAAATACCTGAGAAAATCAATTTATAACACTTTGGACCTACAGAATTTATCAAGACATCTAGACATAAAAACAATATTATCAACTAAAAATCAATTGCTTTTTTATATTTCAGTGACAATCCATTAGAAATAGGAGGAAAAAAATCTATATTTACTGTATCCACAATAACAACAAAAACTAAAATATCAGATGCAAAATCTATAAAGACCTCAAAAAAACTGCTAAAACCTTGCTGAGGTTCTTAAAATAAGCCCTGAAAAAAACAGGATAATAAAACATATTCCAGGGTGTGGAGAATAAATATTGTAAAGATTTTAATGTCACTAAAGAACTCATCTCTGACACCAAAGAATTACATCAAATCCACCTCCACCCCTCACCCCCCCACAAAAAAGAAAAAGAAGGAAGAAAGGGAAGGAATAAGGGAGGAAGGAAAAAGAGAAAAATCATAAATCAAACTATACTTCTTTAGGTAAATGTAAATATATATGGGCGTATTAAAGCAAAACAAAAAAAAAGATCACCAATGAAATAAACAATAGTAGTTATTTCTGAGAATACTGGAATGGGGAAAGAAAGTGACAATACAGTCCATTATATTAATTATAATTATGTTGATGGCAAAGAAATAAAAACAAAAATAAACAGTTAGGAATACCTCAACTTAAAAAGCTTTATACCGTGAAAGGAAATGCAATACAATTTAAAAGACCACCAAATTGAGTGAGAGAACATACACAATAAATAATTAATAAGGGATTAATATCCGATATATATTTAAAAATTCACAAGGAAAAACAAACAACCCAGTTAATAAATGGAAACAGATAAGAACAAGCAGGTTACCAAAGAATAACTAGAAGATCAAAAGACATGAAGAAATAGCTGTCGCTTCTAATAAGAGAGTGCAGGTTAAAGCCACACTGAGCAAGCACCTCACTCCCATGAGAATGGCGCATACTGGAAAGACTTCCAGCAAGTGCTGAGAGGATGTGGAGAAAGAAGGACCCTGTTACACTATTGGTGCAGCCATTATAGAACACTATCTGTAGTCACCTGAAAAGGTGAAAATGGATATAGCCTATGACCCAGCAATCCCACCTTGGGGCATCTATCCAAACAATATGAAACCTTCAACACAAAAATTCATATGTTGCACAATCTTCATAGCAGCATTACTTATAACAGCTCAGACATGGAAGCAGCCTAAATGTTCATCAACAGGTGGTTATATCGAGAAGAAGTAGTATATCCACACAATGGAGTACTATTCAGTGATAAGAAAGGATGAAATGCAGATCTTTGCAACAAAATGGAGGGAGTTTAAGAGAATTATATGTAGTAAAGCAAGTCAGAATGATAAAAGCAAATATTGCACATTTATATAGCAGACAATTCGAAAATGTAAAACATTTTTTTTTAAAAAAGATTTATTTATGTATACAAGAACAGGGGTGCAGGACCTCCCCTGGTGGCGCAGCAGTTGAGCGCTGGGCTGCAAAGCTGCCCGCAGCCTCTGCAGCGCCAGTTCAATCCCGGGCCGCAGGTGATCGACAGACCTCTCCTGCCACCACTGCGCCCCTCAGCAGTGTACTTCGTTAGTCTGCCTGTTCTGTTCCCTGCTCTGGCTCTGGTGAACTCTCTCACCCTCCTGCGCTTCTGACTGTGCCCAGTGCTTATATAAATAAATAAATAAATCTTAAAAAAAAAGAACTGGGGTGCAGCTAGAGGTGCAGGGGGGAGGAGGTGAGAGGATTCACCAGAGACAGAGCAGGGACCAGAACAGGCAGACTAACTGAAGTACACTGCTGAGGGGAGCAGCGGGTGAGACAGGAGAGGTCTGCTGCGCCATGTGGGTAGCTCCCTAGCTGGCCAGGGGATAGAACTCGCGCCTCAGAGGCTGTGGACAGCTTACAGCGCCCTGCTTAACCCCTTTCATGACCAGGGAGGCCCTGTAAAACTCTTTCAAAAACCAGTTGATATAGGTAAACAATGTGAGAGTATGGAGGTTAAGAAGGAGGAGAGAGGGAGAGAGGCAAGGGTATATAAGGGATTATGGCAAGGTGAGAAGAGAGCATCTCTAGGCAATATTGTTTCGCTTGGCTAATTAAAAAGTTTATATGTCGTGCCTCCCTGGTGGCACAGGGCTTAAAGTCTCAGCACTATCAAGCTGTCACCAGCCACTGTGATAGGAGTTTGATCCCCAGCCAGGGAGCTACCCACATGGCACAGCAGACCTCTTTTGTCTTATCCGCTGCTCCCCTCAGCAGTGTATTTCAGTCAGTCTGCCTGTTCTGTTCCCCACTCTGTCTCTGGTGGATCCTCTCACCTCCTGCACCTCTGGCCTGTACTCCAGTTCTTGTGTGTGTGTGTGTGTGTGTGTGTGTGTGTGTGTGTGTGTGTGTATAATTTTTTAAAAATGTTTATATGCCTTTAAGAATCTTTGAGTATTAGGATCTCATATGAAATATATCGTTGGATGTATGTTTCTAAACCAAGTACCTAGACCTGACTTTCGTTTTTATACACTAATGTAGCTTGTCAAGCCATATTCCCCAAGTCACCATAATAATGAACAACTTTGGGAGACTTATTTTAACAATACAGAGCACTGGACTAGTCATAAACCTGTTGTGTAAATAAAAGACC